GTGTGTGTGTGAGGGGGGGGGGTTCATGTTTCCTGAGCATGGCTGCCAACAGAGAACTAAACGTGTCCCTACACTTTTCTCCTGCGAAGACTCACACTCAAGTGTTCTTAGCGCTGTGCTGTGGCTCTGGTCCTCGCCAAGGCTCCTTCACATCCAAATTATTTAGCACTGTTTATTATACAGAGGTTATGCTGGCGCCAGGCGCTAGGGTTCCCAAAAGAAAATTGTTTTTATACATATAAATGGAAAAAGGCTGGACGCTTGCAATGTAATCCTTTCAGTTTTGTATGGAGTTGAAATTCAATCTACGACATTTTGCCTGCCTTGCATTTCTGCTCTATTTATTTTTTATTTTTGTTTCCTTTTCAATTTTACTTCTCTTCCCCTGGAAGGAACTGAATGATGAGAAACACAAACCCTCAGAAAACAAATATTGTCCTGAAAAAAAGAAACCCACACAAGTGGATGTCAGGAATCGTTGTAACAATTTGCTCGTTGTTGTGGTAATTTTTTCTTCAGGGCAAACTGATAATGGACAAAAGATGCAGTATCTTTGATGAGAACAGGCTTGTCCCATTTTATGCCTTTCACTTTGGCCCTCGTCCTCCGGGCTCCGAACCAAGTGAAACTATTTTTAAGTCATCTTCTCTTTCCCTGATTTCTCTTTCTCTTACTTTATCATATACATTTTATCACTCTTTCCTCCCACCTCTCTAGGCCTTTGTCGCTCATTCTTTCACTTTTCTTTCTCTCTCTGCATTCTCTCTCTCTCCAAATACCTCCCTCTCTGAACCTACCCCCACCCCACCCAGAGCTCTCTCCTCTTCGCTTCACTCCAATGGCTTTCAGCTGTGGGTTAATCACTGCAATATTGTCTCTAGCAAGCCTTCTCTGCAGTTAAAATAGCGGAAATGTTAGTAATAGGGGAACTCTGTGAGTAGGTATGTAGGTGCATGTGTGTGTGTTTATTAGCTAGAGTGCAACAAAACCAAAGATGAAGGAGAGTTTGCTTATAAAATGCATATGTAATTTGCGACAATTGTGCTTTTCAACACGTCATTCGTTAGCATGTGCAGTCGTTATGCATTACTGTCAGCGCTTATTGTACTTAAAAGTCAAAAACACAAGTGCATGCTGCCTCAAACTAGAAAATAGGGTTGAAAGAAACTAAATCTCCTTTGAAACTGCACATTTTTATACAAAATCATGCTTTTAGTTTACATGATCGCATTATATCCCTTCAGCATTTTGTTTTTCTTTTGTTTGCCTCGCCGAGTGGCAGGTTTTGGTTCTTTGCACACTTTTATAAATGAGCTGCATGACAGAGCGCTTCCCCCTCCTTACAACATTGGAACAACAGCATGTCAGAGTCTGGCAACAAAGAATCATTTTGAAGAATGGACTTTGCATTGCTTTGCCTAAGCAAACACGTTTCACTAACACAATCTCCGCATCTCTCTCAATCATAATTATGGGGTATCCAGAGACACGGAGCCAGTAAATGAATAAAGTAGTTTATGGAGAGCTGCTTTCTGAGCACGTAGGGAGTGAAAGACAAAGAGGTTCTGATACTGAGGAGTTTAAATATTGAGGATTTGTTGCACCAAATCTCTACTTTGGAACAGTTTTTGCAAGGAGAAAAGAAAGAAAGCAAGGTCTGTGTAATTATCTCAGGCTATCTCTCCAGCTGTCTGCTTGCAGCCTCAGACTCTCTGGATTTGGGCCTAAAATACTGGCATCTATCAAGGGAATGAAGCAAACTGCCTTCCCAATAACACAACTTACACACAAAATCACACACTAGTGATGGAAGAAGTATTCAAATCCTGTGCTGAAGTAAAAAATAAATTCCAGGTTAAAAGCCAAAGTCCTGGTTTTAAAAGTTTACCTAAAGGTCCAGTGTGTAACATTTAGGGAGGCTCTATTGGCATAAATGTTACCTTTTTTAGAATGAGCCATTTTTAATCTACAGACGCTGTGGGTCTCCTTCCATGGCTTCAATTTCTACCTCGCACTTGGAAATATTGAAGAGAGAGTGAAACGAGTCAATTATAATCTTCAACTACACTGCTAGATTCCACTTAACTCTACAAACTGGTCCTTTGAGGAAAACTAACTGCAACTAACCTAATCTGACGATTATTTTCTGTCAATCGACTAATCGACTAATCTAGAAATTGTTTCAACTCTAATTGAATGTACTCTATCAGAGGTCAGTGTAGTAGCTGTGAAGAAGAGTTGAGTGAACAGGAAGGTTTTCAGGATTTTAATGTTTTACAGTCAGTTGAGGATGCAAAGAAACAAAATAGGCAGGTAGAGCAGGAAAGGAAGGACAAAAAGAATGAGTTCATCTTCTGTTGGATGTAAAATGTGAAAATCTGAACTAATTACTGTAGTAACTACAGGTATCATGTAAATATAGTGAAGTGAAAATGCTCAAGTATAAGAACAGCTGTGCTAGTAAAGTAGTAGTACTTTGTTACTTCCCAACATTTTCGTGACACAAATACACATACAGTACTGTATGCAATCACATACAGATGCAGTCACAGACACACACATCGCTCATGTCTCAACCGTGATGACATCTCCCCCTCAGACGGCCTTGTCGCGTGTACTTTGAGGACACCGGATGCTAATTGGAAACAGGAAGCTGGTGTTTCCACAGAGGTTTCAAAGAGCTGTCACAGTTAATATTTCTCATCTAAAATACAATCCTCAATGCACCCCTTACCACAGTTTCCCCTGCCGCATTTCCATCATTCAAAAAACTAAGAAACATATTACAATCAACTGTTTGTGTGCTATACTGTGTAGGAAAGAGCTAACTTTGCATCCTAATATATAATATGTAGACATTTAATATTTTTCTTCAAAATATTAATAAATGTAGATAGCACTCAAAAAATATACACTTTACAGTTTGTGTTTAAAGGCTGACCCTGCCAACAATGAATCATCCTTGGTAATTTATCTATTTTGATCATAACGTTTTGTTGCTGGGGACACAAAAAACTGAAAATCTATTTAAACAGTCTGGTAACTTTGAAAAACCTGTGTATTTTCAGCAAAATCTAAATTGATTAGCCTTAACTATGGGACAAAATTCTCTAGAAGACATTGCCAAACATTACTAGAGCAAAGCAAAACTGAACAATAACACAAATACATCAAGAGGTGCAAATCAAAAAATGAAATGCACACCCTGCAGACTACTTAATAAAAGCCAAGCACCAGTCCCATATATCAGCTAACCAATATATCCATCCAACCCTAACACACACATCCACAGACGCACACTGAGCCCCCACCACATTCATTATTGACTTGCTGCAGAAGCGTGAAAGCCGCCCGGCTGCCCAGAGGGTAGTGAACATGTCGAGGCATAATTGAAAAGGAGACAGAGAAAGCTAAACAAATTACACCAAAGGAAAGAAACCAAGAAATATAATCCCGGCATTGAAGGGCTGTCTTCAAACTGGAAATGTTTTACATTTAAAGTAGTGGCTTTGAAACCAGTTACGTTGATACTTTGTGTTCACAGTATTTAAGGTTTGAGCTACTTCTCTGGTATAGTTTTGTAGTCATCTTAAGATCAATATGTGGCTAATAATTGTGTCCTGAAAACATTTGGTGGGTGATATTTGAGTAGAGGGTTGTACTGGGAGGACATGTGGATTTATTAGTAATATAATCCCTCACTGGCTTCCCAGAAACAAAAACTGCCACTTGTGTGAGATACAGCTCTGCGTTGGCAGTCTATAGGTACCGTGTTGACTGTCATTGTAAACATTAAGTGAAAAAATATATGCGTGAAGTTCTCAGAATGAGGATGGGTCTCTTTGTCTCACCTTGCTTCCTGGAAGTGGAGCTGTTCTGCCTATCCATCTGATAAACCAGTTGTTTTATCCACAGTGTTGGAGCAGTAATCTCTGCAATGACAGGAAGACAGAGCAATGATGATCTCAACTAAGCTTTATTTGACCTGATCAGCCGTGCCGTATCCACCAGTAGCTGCATATTTCATAACATTTGCACAGCCAAGCTTTACCCACAAAACCAAAATGAAAATTGCAGCCAAGATCCCCGTACTTCCAAAACTATCAAATTTGTCATCTGGTATTTCTTTGATGGCAAAGTTTTCCATTTGATATAATGGTGCATTCTTAAGAAATTACATCTTGAGTTTGAATATTGAAAGTTTGACACACTGAAACTACACTGGAGTGAAGAACAATCTGGGGATCAAGAGCTTAAAAGTACACAAAAGAGAAATCTTGTGAGCTGCATTTTAACTCAAGGTGGTTGGTATCAATACATGCTATGCACCTTAGCTAACTGCGCTAAATGACCATCTTAACCTCATGTTACAGGAATAGTTACAGGAGTAGTTAGAGGAGTAGTTAGAGGAGACTTACCATCACCCTCAGGGGGGACATGAGTCTCCATGGTGGGCGTTGGCTTGGAGCCATCATCTGGGTTGAGGGTGAGAAAGAAACGGAAAGAGACTACCATTATTGAGGTTAATACAATCTACTCTCCAGAACTGTTGAATGGTTGGGATTTGCACATGGCCCGGCCAAGACAGATAGAAAAACAGACAGACAGACAGACAGATTGAATAATAGAAAAACAGAGGACGACCACCCACATGTGGCTCTACATCTCTCACATACACACCAATAAATCAACTCCTCACACTGACATTCTCACACCAACATGATCAAGCTGCACATTTATCACACTCCCTCACAAGTGCACTGTAAACCACACACACATACATACACTCACATGAGGAGACCCCCCCCACCCCCTCCCATCAGGACCCGCATGAGTGCAGTGCAGGTGTAGTATGTGTTGATAGGCACAGAAAGGCCCACCCACAACTAATCCAAACACAGAGATGAACAGACCTCTGAACAAATGAAGGGACGGACGTGAACTTCATCATTCTTGATTGTCAAAATAAGATTTCTCCCACTAAGGATACCGATGTTGGTTCATTCAGCTGGCCAATTGTTTGCGACTTCCAAATCACTGGTACAATCTCAGTAAGTCGCCAGGATGCGTTGAAATTTGGCAGTGATAGTGATGGTTTCCTGAAGATAATTTCAAATGACTTTGGGGATGGTCTGACTGTTGTTCTAGTTCCACCGTCTCAAAAATTGTCCTTGAGCCACGCTTTGATCCATGAGAAGGACATCGCAGAAACAGACGTCCAGACTTTGCAGAAATTTGTTGTGTATAGGTCCATCTGATATTTCCTGTACTGCCACAATCTACCCAAAATTCCTTCCATACTTTATTCCTGCATTGTACTGAGAAATATAAAACATGCATTCTCTCTAGTGGATAAAAACTTTAGGATTTAATGACCCCATGGCCTTTGCTGTAGCATCACCATATAAATGTGTGTACAAAGAGTACATAATAAGGAATTTTGACTTGACTTTGAACACGTATTCTAGCAGTACCTTTAATACAGTGTTTCTCAGTTGGATCATGTAAACCACATGGCATACTAACAACCAGTTACATTAAAGATTACTGTATCACCATATTACAACTGTTCATTACAATTAAACATTGCGAAAACTCAATTTTGGGTTACTTGGCTCCCGAGCTGAAGGCTGAATAAACTGTCAGACTCTTTCTTTCATCCTCAGTTTTCTTGAACGCTGTATGCTTTAGGGAAAAAACATTAGAATCAGTAAGTATTTTAAATGACTCTTTATAAATGTCCTAATTTTGGCAACCAAAACTTGTTTATTATTGTTATTTTCAAGTGATGTTTGGTTAATCTTTTAGTCAAACATCTTGCCACAGCTACAGTACTGTGTGACAAAGATTTACTATATTCACTATCAAAGTTGACTGTTGCTCTTAGACAAAATCTAAAAATGTTTTCAGTCAGATGTGTGGAAAATGCCCCAAACGTCACATTTTACATTAATGCATGGGTTAAAGAATATATTCTGACGGGAGTCAATGTCCTGTGTAAGAAACTGATAAGTTGTAATGGACCTTAGATAATGCTGTGAATTCAGTTACCTAGAATACTCACCAGTGTGCAGTTTTGTAGCATCTGGAACACTCCTTAGGAAATAATTCAATCAACAGCAAACCACAGAGAACCGTAGAATGACTTTCTATAAACACTACAGTAAGTCCTTAAATCAGATGGCTTGTCAGCAAATTGGAACACTTGAGGTCAAACTGACCTGATCTGGTCAAACTGTAAATAAAATACAATGGTTACTCGGTTGGTCTCAGACAAGTGCAAACCTGGGTCAAACAACCTCCTGCAGATATGCTACAGATTTCTTTTTGACAACTTTCTCCATGTAAAACACACTGATGATGCATGTTGAAACAAATTCTGTAACTTGCAGTATTTGTCAATAACTGTCATGCTAACATGCCAAAGAAAAAAACTGCTAGTTTAAGATCCAATATGTAACTATAAAGACCATTTTCATCATCTAAATCCTCTTAAAGTTACAAGTGAAACGTCAGTGTGCCGTTCTGCTCTGCACAAATATGGACTTTGAACAGATCAGATGGAAAAAAAATCAGGTCAAAAGACATTTTGAACTTGTGCTCTCTTTCTGTCTCTTTCATACAAATACAAGCACTGACACATGCACACACAACCTACAGCAGATCTCAACTCACCTTTTCTACCAGAGTTCGGTGGCCCGGAGGGTTTATCGGTTACTGACCCTGTAAAGGAAAAAGACATAACATGTACAAAACAAAGACCAGACAGCAGCAACAACTCCTCGAGAACATTCAAAGAATTTCATTCCAAAATTCAGTTTATCCCTTTTAGGAGCAAAAGAATAACTTTTTTTACCACCTTAGTTCAAATAAATTATTTTGCAAGAGCTTGAGTCTCTTAACAGCAATCTTATGATTTAGAATTAAATTTGATTGTCCCAACATAACACAGGCAACACAGGCCAACAGAAAAACATCACTCCCACTGATTACACAACCCACTGACGTACTGACTTAGAGTTAGACGCAGAGGTTTGTCAAAGTTTGATGAGTACATTCTGTTAGTTGATAGCAGGCACACATTGAAACATTAGGCTTGCTGCTTTATCTTAACACTGACTAATGCAAACCTGAGTGTGATTGTCACCTTCCGTGGAACATTATCAAAGAAATCAAGTTGTACATTTCCAAATAACATTCTCTTTGGTGCATGCAGGTAGTTGGTTTCATGCATGGATGCATGGTAGAAAAGAGCTTAATTAGAAAGTGCAACCAATTACAATAGAAGGGCAAAGGGGGGAAATTTTGAATGAAGGCAACTGGAAGGAAATTTACTACCTGACATTCCACTTGTCCCAGCATGAGTTCCCATAAATTCATGGAAGTTTCCTGCAAATGTATGTGAGATGATTGATTTGGGTCATAGTGTACACGGGCGTCTGAGCATGTCAGTAAAGGTTATTTGTTGTCAGCTGAGAGGAAAGGGAACGTAAGGGGAGGAAAGTTGGGCACGTACGACTGTAGCAGCTGTATGCAGTATCAGGTTTATAGTGCCCAGATTCTGGTTCCAGTGTCATACATACCTTTGCAAGAAACAATGAAGATATCGGATCTTATGCAGGACAGACAGGTAGAGATTGTGCTTTAAACTACATTAAAGAATTTCATAAGGTGTTTATTTAAACCTGGACATCTGAACAGACTTCTTCCATTAAGTGCTGGTAGACACTTTTAGATCTCACAACACCAGATCTTAAGTTATTCTTTAATTATGCATGAGATAGGATTTTTTGTTGTTGTTTGGAATACAGCTGCAACTAATAATTATTTTCTTTATCAATTAATCTAAAAAAACAGCCACATGCCTTCAGATTAATTTCTGTCATATATGACAAAGAAAAGTTGCAAATTCTTGCATTTTAAGGAGCTTGAACCAGCAAACATTGAATTATCAAAATAGTTCCAATTAATTATTTTCCTACTAACTAACTGACGAATGGTTGCAGCAAACATCATCATCAACATCATTTGCATCCAGTGTCTTTGTGAGTTCTTGATGAGCAAATTTGAGCCCAGACTGTTTCATTTTTTTAAACTTCAACAGACCCATCACTAGATTGATTTACAGAGGTAAAGAAAATCTGTGTAGAGCATTGGCTTATAGTCTATGTTTTTATAGTTCATATCTGGTAAGTTTGACCTATTGCAAACCATCTCGACATTAGTGACCTTTGAGCCGAAGAATCCCAAATGGAGGAAGCTAATGTTATCCTTGCCCTGCTAAAGTATGGTCTGCACAAAAGAGATACATCATAGTTTGAGGTCAGTTGTAAGACAAAAGTAGAATGAACTTTGTTAACTTGCTTCCAGCAGATCACATAGACAAACAATAACATTTTTGTTGTTTTTGTTTTTTAGTTTTTGTTAAATACCTGAACCCACTAGGGTCCTGTTGTGCACAGAAGAGTCATTCTCTAGATGCACAATAAATTGTATGCTCCAGAAAAATTTTCCTATCTGGTGCAGAAATAACAAAATAAGTTGAGCTTGGCTCTGAACTTCTACTACTAGTATGCGTTCATAAATGGAAAAAGCAGTGTGGTTTTCTAGTATGAATGGATACATAACCATGCTCCTTTTGTGAACTTCTATGAACTATGATTCTGTCATAGGACTGAAACACAGCAGGTGCCAAGGCAAACTATGCAGGTGATTAGAGGCACAAGTGGGAAATACAGAGAAAAAAAATGGCACGGAAGATTGAGACAGAGAGAGAGATAAAGAAATTGAGAGAGAAAAAGATAGGCAGAGAGCGGGAAGCCTCTGGCGGTCTGTGGAGTAGCTTCAGCGGGGCATGTGACCACTCTCACCACACTCTCCACACAAAATTTGCACCATATGCTCTAGTGGCTGTGCAATCCAATTCTGGCAAAGACCCATGTGTATTATCTTCTGAGGGAAAATGATGGTGATTATCATAAAGTGTTCCCATCCAGGATGAGTGTGGAGAACCCCGCTCTTCTCCTCCAGCCTTCTGAGAGCAGTTAGACAAGGGGGGGGAGTGAGAGGGCCCGAGGGGCCCCTGGATGTATGGCCATTAGCCTTCTCACTGACCTCGCACCTGCTAAACGCCACATGACATGTAATACACATGTGCCCACAGTGTGGCAGGACGGACTTTCTTTAACTGTAATCCAAAGGCTGCTTTCACTCATCAACACAGTCCGGTTTTCTTAAAGTCATTCATTTCAGATTCACTAATAATTGACTCAATTTAAGATCTTCCTCAAATGTACTGTACAGTACACTAATATAACACATCCGTTCTCAATCTTTTCTTTGATGGGGAACTGAAGCCTATGAAGAAAACATATTTCCAGTTGTTATTGAAGTCTGAAAAACATCTCATTCTTAAAGATGCTGAAAGTTAAATAGCCCAAACCCCAGTGACTTGGCTTCCAAGCACTCTTGGCTCCAAGATCCTACAAATACAGCCACCATTGAAAATTTTAAAGGCTTGTTACTGTATGCAGCTTCTCCACCCTTCTAAAGAATTGTCGGGAAACATCATACCTTTCTACCGAAGCGTTAGTCATACAACCTGTTACACATTACTCTGAAGTAGAGCTGCACAAATGCACCAGGAATAACTCTAATCACTAATTTGCACAGTACTAAGGTAGGACAGATAAAAGCTGTGTTGGCAGCAGAGTCAGCAACCTTTTTACGGGACAATCGTTTAAAGATTCTTTTGAAAAACTCTGGACATTTCATCCACAGGTTGCCAGGCTGGTTTCCCCCCAGTACCTGAACACACCGGGGTCCTGTTGTGCACAGAGGAGCCACTGACTGGCTTGCCGTCACTGGTGACACACCAGCAGTAACCTGTCAGAGTATGGCACTGGACCTGCAGAGGCAAAAAATGACAATAACTTTTTCATATACATGATTTTGTTAGTATAATTGAGTGTAAATACAGCGGAAGGTGAAGAACACAGTCAGTGAAGTTAAATTGATCCCTTGGGTGATGTGAAGGTAATGGTTCAAAGCAAGAGAAAGATGAAGAGTAAAAAACTCAAAAAGCGAGACGGACCTGGGCAAATGTTCCATCCTCATTGCATTCTGGGATAAACATGGACTCCTGAGGTCTCCTGGCTTGTTCCAAAGCCTGGTTCCTTTCAACACGACACTTGGACTGACCTGCATCTGTAACAGATTGACAGACAGCCGGCTCTCATACACTGCGTACAATGCAAAGCACTCCTGCTGTTTTTTTACTTCAGACGTGTGTTCTTTGTCAACAACACCCTGTTCACGCCTGGGAGCTGACCAGTACAACCACAGTTTACTACTGTTGGCCAGCAAGCACCGTCTGATGTTTAAGTGCCTTGCTCAAGGGCACCTTTTTGATAGATGTACTGGGAGAAAAGCATTATTCATTCACTTTCTGCACCGTTTGTTAGTTTTTTTTGTAATTTTTCCAATCAGGATATTTTTCTTTCCTGATGACGAGCAGCCTTTTACGAGTTTTTAGCACAGAATGGTGACTAGACAAGTCAAAGACCTTTTATTACACCATTCAAAAATATACTAAAACAACACAGTCCTTGACACTGACCATCACCAGTGCCAGAGGTAGACTATGAGCACCACATTGTTAGTGCTGAGTGCGTCATGTGCTCTACACTGATATTTTGAAATGTCAGTGGAAAGTGAGCCTGTGTTCCTGCAGTTCTGATGAGCCAGACCTACTCTCAAGGGACAGAGATGGAAGTGACTGAAAGGTCAGAGAATGAAGTGGGCTTCACACCAGCTGGTCACTGATTTAAAATCCCATCACCAACGACTGTTTTTATTGCACTCACAGCTCCTGTGGAGCCGAGCTTCATGTTCAACTCTTTGTGTATACACATTCACACCATGGAGCTGACCAGTGTGACCGCAGTCCTCCACTTTTGGGTAAACGTTCGCCCTGAATAAATAAAAGTTTAAAAAAGTCATCTTTTGGACCTGAGAGGAGACAGACATGTTGTCTCCTCCCGAGTAAAAGACAGACAGAGCCAGAACTGGGTGATGATGTCAACGAGATGGTCAGACATGGTTACGTGAATTTATAAACGTGGACTTTGTTTTTCATATTTAGTCTTACTTCAGAAAAAAGTCTAATTAAATAGTGTAGTGCTCATGTCCTAAGGAGAACAAGCAATGCAGTCCAGTGTCCTACTGAAGACAACAACCAACAGCCTGAAGTCTGATGTCTGGAAATTCATGATCAGAGGCTGTTAGCAGTTTCTTCATCATGTCTTGCCTTATGCTTGTCTGTGCTTGTTAGTTACATGCAAATATCTGTTTCTTTATTTAATTTGGAAAGCAAGCCACTGAGGTACTGTTGCAAAAATTCATATCCACCATTTGAAAAATCCACACTTTAAGATTGATTGACATGTAACCTCAAACATCATTTTAATGAGCTGCTTCATGATGACTGACTCCACCCATGTGGTTTATTCACAGCTAAATAATAATAAACAGGCCTGCCTGTCGTAATAGCTATAGTCATGTATTTGTTGTTGTTTGTGGTTGTTTGTTGTACCTGTTAACAATTTATATGACTTGTAGTTAAATTTATCTGTTGTGTTTAACCTGAATCTCACGCACACCTCAATAAGCCTTCGCCAGACTTTGCCATTGTAAACAAGGATCGGTTCATGAACTGCATGCTTAAATAAAGCAGGAGTTTCACTACAACAAAACAGACCTGCCGCATCTGTAACATTGTGTGAGCTTTGCCCAGCTTTCCTTTCCTTGGCACACCACAGACATTATGAAACAAAACCACGTATTAACATACAGAGGGAACAAATTTCACTCCAAAAATGGATTTGGTTGAGACTGCTGTTTTCCTAATGGACAGTGGGGCTGAAAAAAAGGGGGGGGAATGCCAAGTTCCAACCTTGACTCTAGACCTATCAATCTCTGCTGTTGTTGAGTGGCTGGCATCCAGAGACTGAGGAAGTGTGTGATCCTGGTCTGTAAAAACTTACACGCCTACAGAAAGGCGGAAAATGAAAGACATCTTCTCATTCAGTTCCACTTTTCCCCAAACGGTCTGGTGTTCACATTGGGTCCAAGCTGCAACATCTTAAACATGCTCTTCAAGTAAATCAGTGTATTCTTTGGCTTTCTAAGTTTACAGTTTATAGTCTTCAAGGTAAGAATAGATTACAGTTAGCTACAAATTTATTTCAGGTGAAAATTTTGGGCTGATTCTGAATTTTGGCAACACAGAACAATCTATCATTTGAGCTTATCACATTGTGATCACTCCATGTTTGTAGGAGTCTTGATCAGATTCAGAGGTGTTTAGAGCAGAATTGGGCGAATATATCAGTCCACCACTTCTTGTTGGGGTTTTTTGTGATGGGCAATATTTATAATTTTATTTAGCTTTAAAAACAGCATGTAGAGCCACATTATTTTCACATCTAACTCTGCGAATTAAGGATTTATTTTGACCCATCAAGACTTGATAATTATTGGAACAGTGGAAAGACTGACCAAGGCAGTTTTGGTGAGTTTTATTT